CAACAAAGGAACCAGTGGAGTAGCAACGCAGACTCCATTTTTTTTTTCTTGTTCTACAGGGACACATTACAAGTTCTCTTAATTAATAGAATGTTTCGTGCATCACATTGAGAAGAGCCTTTCCCTTTCAAGAAGGAATCTAACAGCACAGCAAACATATGCTTTTTTGGCTGGATTTCAAGCCATATTTATTAACTAAGTGCTAGGGTGGAGCATGGTTTTCTTGCCAACAGGATTCATAGGACAGAGCACTTGAAAGCGCATCAAGAAATGAACCATTTCTATGACAAGCACAATCACTGCCTGTAAGTCCAACTTAGCTCGTGCTGTCAGTGCTGACCACATAAACCACAGACTAACTGAAGAACTTCAGGCACCTCAGATGAAACACAGTCTCCCAGTATTATGAGGTGCTGGGGCCAATCCCCAGAGCCACTTGAGTTGAGAGAAAATAGCAGCTGGTCAGATGGAGACCATTTCCGACTTCTCCCCACCATTTTGGGCACAGAGACCTTCCTGGAGCTGAACTCTCCCATATCCTGTTGTTGGAAAGGAGTATCCTATTCACTAACAGGCCTACTTTACTCCACACACCCTTTGCAAAACAACATTTCTGGAAGAAATCCAATGACCTATGAAACCAGCACAGGGAAAATGCCAGGTAATTGAGACACAGGCAGGTTTTCTTTAGTGCCTCTCTGCTGCCTGCCCACATTCCCTCCCATCTCTCCCTATTTCCAAAGTCAGAAACCCTCTTTGTCATGGAGGCAGCAGCCCCCTCCCCACCACTCCTTGGTAGTCTGTGAAGATGAAGCTGGAATAAAAGGTAGTTAACGGAGTTCATGTAAGGTGACAAAGCTGGCACTCGCTAAACACTTAGCATTACACAGCCACCCCTTAAGAGTGCTCCAAATCCATCAGTCATCATGGAAAAATTAGAAGCTTTACTGGATTCCTGCCTCTCCAAACAGATCTTCTGAACTCCTTAATGGACTCTCTAATTCAGCATTCAAGAACAGAGCCTCAGACCAACAGACTGTCTCTGTAACACACTGTCAGGCAACTTGGAACAGGCAGAGAGAACAAGTCAAAACAATCAGCAATTTCATTAAGGGGATAAGATTAATCTTGAATGATGCCCAAGTCTGACTCACGTTGTCAATTATTATATATGATCTCTACAAGCAGGCCATTTTTCCAACTCACTGAAACATCCGCACATTTCAATGGGCTAGGCTTTACCCTGTTCACTGCCCTCTAGCTGTTTTTGTTGTGGATTATGTAATTTAGTGAGTGATGCAATAAGAATGCTTTCTACCTATGCTTTGTACGTGATGTTGTCCAGTGATTAGTGCAACAGGCTGAATGGCTCAGAATCTTGGATTTCAACACCCTCATTTGCTGTGACCTTGAGCCTATTACTTCCCTTCTTCTGGCATCCGCTATAAAAATGGGGAGGAGCAAATATTCTTGCCTCTTTCATCACTGGACCATTGTAAGTGTTGTGAAAATAAGCACACTGGTTCTTGAGACCAATACTCAGCAAATTCAGGCTAAGATTCCTGGAAAGTGGGCAATAGGCATGATTTAAAACACACACACACACACACACACACACACACACAAATGATTTTTTTTTAAATTTTCTTAATATTTATTTTTTAGTTCTCGGCAGACACAACATCTTTGTTAGTATGTGGTGCTGAGGATGGAACCCGGGCCGCACGCATGCCAGGCAAGTGCGCTACCGCTTGAGCCACATCCCCAGCCCACACAAATGATTTTTAATTTACCTTTGCATTTAGCTATCTGGGAAACTGTACTTAAAGAAGGACTTATATTTTTGTCCAGTGATGTGAAGAATAGAAAGAGGAATCAGAGAGGCCTAAGAGGATAAAAGTTTACTTTGTTAGATGCAAATAAGCTCACAATTTATCCTAAAATGTATTCTTCTATGATCATTTTTTTTTAAATTATGCCATTAACACAGTGAAGGAAATGGATTAATATTTTTATAATCTTGGAGCCTTTCTAAGGATGTCATAAAATCAAAATGCTGCAAAACCTGATGAATTTGCCACATTAAAAAAAATAGATGCATGTAAAGCCAATGTATCAAAAAAGAACTGGAAGCAATGTTTGCATGTCATATATCAGAAAAAGGCAAATGTCCCTAACATATGATATGCTTTTTAAAATTCAATATAAAAATCATGAATACAAAACAAGCAAAGGATATGAATAGGCAATTTTTTTGAAATGATGTAAAAGACCAACCAACATATTGAAACATATTCAACCATGTTCATAACTGAATACACATTAAAATAATGTAGATAAATCGATTTTTTTTATCCGTTGGCTTGACAAACATTTAAATACTTCTTAAGTTCTCTGACTGAGGTAGGTGTGGATAAATGGGCACTCCATATCCTAACAGAATGCATGCTGATAAAAAGTTGTCAAACTGGCAAGATGCATTAAAATTTACTTACGAATGGAAGTGATTTTCTTTCCAGGAATTTATTCTGCAGATATACTCCCAAAAATGTACAAAGACACAATCCAATGGGTAAAAATCAGTACATCTACATTATTTTAATTTGTAGTCAGTTACGAACATGGTTGAATGTCTTTCCATATGTTAGTTGGTCTTTTACATCATTTTTTCTTTAGCATTGTTTGTACATTTTTCATTGTTTGTACATTTTTTACTTTAGCATTGTTCATAATAACAGAAATTTGGAAGTAGGCATAGAGAGCAATACTGTCAGCCGTTGAAGAGTTATATTGGACCCACACAACCACAATACAGGATGGTTGAGCACATTCCTAAGTGAAGAAAACGAGTTCCAAGTATACTTCTATACAAGTATAGAAGTATAGGATACTTCCAAGTGAGATTAAGGAAATGATCTATAATATTTAGGAGAGAAAGGGAATGTGTTGCTTAAATGAACTCTTCTTTGTCTCACAATCTTACATGTAATTTCCAATTGTCCCCCATTCTGGGCTGCTTCAAAACCAATAACAATAAGTGACATGTTTCCCCATGTTCTAAACAGAAGTATCTTATTATCTAATTCAGAATTTGTGAAAAGGTGAACAAAGATCATATCCAATAGCTCATCCCCCACCTTCAATCTTTAAAAGGATATTAGATGTTGGTGAGAGTGAAAAAGAGGAAAGCGTGGTCACCTGTGATGGTGCACACCAGTAATCCCAGCTGCTCAGGAAGCTGAGGCAGGTGGATTGCAAGTTTGAGGCCCGTGTGGGCAACTTAGCAAGAGCCTATCTTAAAATAAAAAAAGGTTGGTGATGTGGTAGAGTGTAAAAGTGTCCCAGGATACAATTCCCACCCTGATCCCCCTGCCACCCCCAACACAGCCCCCCACCTCCTTCATAAAAAAAGAACAAAAGAAGAACTTGGTAAGTGTTGTGGCCTCCTAGCATTAGACCCCCTTGGGCTTGCCCTCCCTGTGAGACAGGCTGAATGGGATGTCAAGAGAGAGGAAAAGAAAGAGAAAACACCTTGGAGGGAATGAGTGGCTCATTAGAAAGAAAAGGCATCTTACTCCCAGCCTAAATTCTGAAGTCTGGAAAAACTCAGAACTTATTCCACACTGTTCCTGCTACAGTGTAGTGAGAGAGGTGAGGGTGACCTGTGTTCCTTGGAACTCCGGCACAGAATGAGGTGCAGGCCTCTTACCCCAAAACCTAAAGGCCAAGGGGTGTCTAGAATGACCTGTTATGATGGAGCAAAAAGGCTGTGTTGGAAGCAAGCTGTCCTTCAAAGTTTCTGTGGGACAAAGATGCTGAGTTCTTCCATGGGCGATACTATCACCACCCCAGAAGGCAGCCGCTCTCATGCCATCCAGAAAAACCTCGCCCCAGAGTGCCGTCTGCTGGGGCAAAACAACCCCAACAGGCACATTTTGTGAGAGTTGGGGAATTGCAAAAATATAATCAAGGGAGAGTCATGAAGAGGCTTGGCTGAGAGATCTCCCACAATAACACTTCACAGGGAACTGAGAGCACGGGTCCCTTATAGAGCAGAGGGAGTCTCTAAAAAGCCCACAAAACCATCTCAGGCAAGAAAAATAGAGCATTAGATATCCACCATCCAGAGGGCATAGATATCAGGTTACATGGTACTCATTGAGCAAGACCTTGTCCTTTACTTCTCCTCTTGCCCCCTCCCCCAGTCCTGGATGGACTGGCATTCAGTGGGAAAGAACCAAATACCATGCTCCTCTTTCTTATTGTAGGTTTCTGAACCAAGGCCAGGTCTAAGTTTGGGAATGGGGTAAAACTGTAAATGAGATGTGAGGAAGAACTTTTGATCTTGACAAATTGACCTTTTAAATTCATGTGAAGCGGTTGTCTGTCTTTTTTGTTTTTGTTTTTTAATCTAAACTGGTTTGGAAAAGCTTCAGGATCTGCACAAAATACTGCCCAAAGGCAGAGTGGGTTTAAAAAGCTTAAATAAAAGAAAGAATAAAGCTACATTTCTGAATTCACCCTCATTTAGTCTCACCCATTCAATATACCAGTTACATGTGCATTAAACGCTCTTAAAAGGATAAACAAGAAACTATTAGAGGTGTTTTCTCAAAGTGTGGAGCTAGGACATCACACCAGTGGGGGACTTCTTTATATTCATCCATACTTTTGGCATTTTTTTTTTACTATAAACACAAGTTACTAAAAACTTAAGCTATTTTAAATATGGAAATTCAACAAAATTTGTAGCCAGGTAAATTTATAAAAACTCTTCCCAAGGTATTTATAGTATCTTTTCCAGAATTCTCTCCTTCACCTTTCACACAGTTAACGACCACCTACTTTGCCTAAATAGCTAGTATTGGGTTGAATTCTCTTTCTAGTTGGCCCTATAGGGCACTAGAACCTTCTGGCAACTATCCATGTAAATGTGCTAAAGAGTGAACAGCCCAGAGAAGGAGACTCCATAGGTCAGTGCTGTGGTCAGTCATTCTTACCTAACCAGGAGCATCCCCCAGTGCATTCCTTAAGCCTTGAAAGTTGTCATCAGGACTGCTGATATATCAGTAAACAGGCTCAGGTCTAGAGAGTTCCATGGCTGTCACTGAGATATTCATCCATCCATCCATTGTTGTTGATCAACACATTTTGGCACCTGGCATTATAATTGAGTACTATTTACTACATCATATAGTAGAAAACAATTGATAATGCTAAAAGAAAAAAAATAGAGAAATTGCTTTCAATAGTTATTTTTCTTAAGAATTATTTGTTTGAAGTCCGAATAGCAGTCATCATGAATACAAACAATAATAAATGCTGGAGAGGATGTGGCAGAAAAGGAATACTTGAATATTATTTTTGTATAAATTAATACAACCACTATGGAAATCAGTATGGAGGTTCATAAAAAGACTAGGAATAAAGCCTCCATATGACCCATATACCACTACTCAGTATTTAACCTAAAGAATTACAATCATCATGCTACAGTGATATATGCATACCCATATTTATAGCAGCACAATTCACAATAGCCAAACTATGGAACCAGCCTAGGTGCCCATCAATGGATAAACATATAAACAAAATGTGGTATATTTACACAATAGAGTTTTATTCAGTCATAAAGAAAAATGAAATTATGCATATGTGGGAAAATGGGGGGAACTTGAATACATTATATTAAGTGAAATAAGCCAACATCAGAAGGCCAAGGGTCATATTTTTTTTCTCTCAGAGAGTAACAAAAAAGAAAATTAAGTTTTGCAGGATCTCTTAAAAAATCAAAAGGAGGTGAGTAGAATAGAGGAAAAGGACCAAAGGAGGGAAAAGGAAAGGGAAAGAGGAAATACTGGGGAATGATGTGGCCAAATTATATTGTTATATTGTGTGTATATACTAACACTAGCAACAAATCCCACCATTATGTACAACTATAATGCACCAATACAAAAATGGGAAAAAAGAATTATTTGGTGTCAAGACAACAATGTAGATGTTCTATGTCCTTATGAACACTCATGAGTGTATAAGGGTAGCTTTTTGTCTTCGGAATAAATGCTCTAGAGTAGGCTGTGCACCTAATGGCACTGTCAAAGACATAAAAGAAATTCAGCAAAGGCCATGTTCTAAGGCCCTGGCTAGAAGGCCTCATGCCTTTGTGTGATAGTAACCAAAAAGAAAAAAAAAATAGCCTATGTCAGTTTTCAAAACTTTGTACTCCCTTTCCCTGGGGGGAATATTTATGTGTATAATTATATTAACTTCTTCAAAAGCTATGGTTAGAGAGCTTCATGCTTCAGGTTCAGGGAAAAACAACTAAGAAACCCTGTCCATGTTATCCAGGGAACCCTGAGGAGAACATGAGGACAAGTAGATCCTGTGTGGTGCCCTTGCCCACCCCTCCCCCATAGCTGTGAGATACCCTTTGGGGCCTTCACCTCAGAGGTGACCCAGGCCTCTCTGCATGTGAACACCACACTGAGATACCTGCCAGATGGGTATCCAGTACTACGGGTTCCAGAGCAAGAACCTTGGAAACCCAAGATATGAGAACAAGTGATGAGAAGGGCCAAATGGGCCACCTGCGAGTGAGCAGTGTAGGGACAGAAAGGCAAATATTATGCACTATTTTTGGCAGTAATCCAAAATGATCTGGATGACACAGATCCCTGAGATCAGTGAAAGGCAACAGAGGAAAAAAGGTTACGGTAAGGGAAGGTAAAGAAAGGAGGGGGTCAAGAATTAGACTGCTTAAAAAAACATAGGGAAGAAGAAGGAGGAGAAGGAGAAGAAAAGAAAAAGAAAAAAAAAATAAACGAAGCAAGAAAGGAAGCAAGGAAGGGAGGGAACTTGAAATGGGCAACTTCTAGTTTGGCCAGGAAGTTGGCCTCTTTTTCCCATAAGGTCTCATAGTACGGAAGGCGTACGACCTGCTGGGTCATGCCATTGAGCCCCTATAGGCAGAGACATGACTAAGAAGATCATTCATTAACGTGAATTTTGGAATGTGCATATAAAGACAACGGACAATGTAGATTCTAACAGTAGTTCTCTCTGGCTAGTTAAATATCACCACAAGACTGCCAGGAAGGGAAATTGCACAAGACTGAAATATAACAATTAATTAACAATGCAAAAGAACACACTCTGAAAGGTAAGGACAGGAAGCACTCCATAATCCTATAAATTATTCCTGCTTATTGAGTGCTAAAAGCACAAGTTCCAGACATATATAAATAATATATTCGTATAAATAATTGAAAACACACGGAAAATTACATAAGCAGGAACCAACTCTAAATTTAGCAGGGCCCCTGCCTTTTAGAACCCCTACACATTATGCTTCTCACTTAGCCCTAGCACAAGAGAAAATCAAGGTAAGAAATATTTCACTGTATCATATAGAACTGGCCATAGCATTACTATATCCTTTCTCTGGTTTTCAGTTTCCACACCAATAAATAAATAAATAACTGTAAAAAAATAAACTCTAAAATTTTTTCTAACTCTGACATATTATCTCCTTAATATAATACTCATTAATTTCAAATCAGGCTTGCTTTTCTGTTTCTATTGAAAGATCCCCAGTGTACATGCTAATGTCCAAGCATCCCAAATACCTCTGAATTCCAGGTTTGTGAAATATGGTTTGACTTATCCCTAAGCAGCTCTTGCTCTAGTGACTTTGGCAATTGTGATTTGGTGCTTTTTAAGCTAAAGAATGACTATCTTCAGTCAAAAGATTATACTGTAAGTACAACTTTACTTCACAAATTGGCTATTTATTTCTCCTCCTTGGGAAATTAGCTTGTTGTCTATTTCCTACAGAGGAAGATTTTACATGATGCCAAGAGCTCTGGTGTAAATGGGCTTCATTTTCTAAGTTGTGTGAAATGCAGAAGGAGCATGACTCCATGGTGTTCTTTCATCCAGCAAGGAAACAAACTATCAAGTAGCCACCAGAACCCCTGGTTAATAAGAAAAGGAAAAGTTAGGTGCAGTTGGAGTTTGGAAATAGCTTTCTTTCTCTATGCTTCTGTACAGACTCAGAGATAACAGTTAAATCACCACCTATTGTTTATCAAATATGGACCATGTGACAGGTACATATATTATCTTTGGTCTTGTGGTCATTAGGCAAAACAGATATTATCAGGAAACTGAATCTCAAAGGTTAAGTAATTGCCTGTGATCACATAAGAGGCAGAAATAGGATTTAATCAGGGTCTCATCCGAATCCAAACCCAAAGTTCGTCTCTAGTGTTCTCACACTAGTTCTGAGCTCCTTCTCAAGCAACACACTGCAATGCTTAAGCCTGTGGGGCCTCAGGAACAGTATATCAGAATCTGAATCCTTGATCTAAAACTTGCTAGCTCTGAAGTCTTGCAAAAGTTTCTTAGCTTCCTTGACCCTTTGTTCTCTCATTTGTTGGTAGTAGCAATACTTACTGCATAAGGTGAAATGATGCTATATGGAATGATATAATATAATAAAGCAAGTACACACACTTGGCATATTCCTTGACAAAAATAAGCACTCAGTGCATGGTAGTTACTATTGTCTGACTGATTGACTGCCTTCCATTTATCTTTCTTTTTTTATATTTATTTTTTTAGTTGTAGTTGGACACAATACCTTTATTTGTCTATTTTTATGTGGTGCTAAGGATCAAACCCAGGGCCTTGCACATACTAGGCAAGTGCTCTATTGCTGAGCCACAACCCCAGCCTCCATTTCTCTTTCTCTGTCTCACTTTTCTATTTTATGGGGCGAGGGTTCAACAGGCTCTCACACATGCTGGGCAAGTGCTCTACAGCTGAGTTTCTGTTTTTATATTGTGATTCCTATAAGCAGAATTACTTCAGATTCTGCACTGGAACAAGAGTCCTTGCAGGTGGTATCTATCAATAGTAGGTGTTTAATAAATGCTTGTTAGTTATCTCTTTCATTTGCCTAAGAATATATTCCCTGTGGACAAAGGGTATATGTGCTTTGCATTTGGGGGCCATGTGTACTGGTAGTACCTTTTTTTTTTTTTGGCCCCTTTGCCTCTTTGTGTGTGAATGAGTGTACACATGTACATTCAAATATATTTGTATATATAGTCACAGCTTATCATTGTTCATTCATATCAGTTCTCCAGATATGTTTTATTCCAGGGTATCTCAAGTGATACAAAATAGCATTTCTGCCTTCAAAATTACTTACTAGTCAATTCCTAGCATCACGAAACAAACAAACACAACTCTTTGAAAATTTCATTTGAACACTTGGTATGAGCACAATATATATGTACTGTGAAAGTCATCAGCATATAGATCTTGGAGAAAAAATGTCATATAGAGAAAAGAGGTGTGCACACGCATGTTTATGTGTGACGGTTTAGTCAACTTTTGTGTTACTGTGACTAAAACCTGACAACAACAACTTAGAAGAGGAAATGTCTATTTTGGCTCACAATTTCAGAGGTTCAGTCCATGGTTAGTAGACACTGACTCCATTGCTCTGGGCCTGTGGTGGAGGCACAACATCATGGCAGAAGGGTGGGGCAGAGAAAGGCAGCTCAGGACTTGGCACCAGGAAGCAGAGATTGAGCTCCACTCAGCAGGGACAAAATATAAATCCCAGAGGCATATTCCCAGTGACTTCCTTCCTCCAGCCACACCCTACCTGCCTACAGTTACTACTCACTTAATCCATATCAGTGTGTTAATCCACTGACTAAGTTACACCTCTCATAATCTAATCATTTCATCTCTGAAAATTCTTGCTTTGCCTCACACATGAGCTTTTGGGAGACACCTTCTATCTAAACCATAACAGTATCCCATACCATTTTTTTATTATGTTGTTATGATGCTGTCAAGTTCATTAGTTAAAATTCTGAGGAGATAACAATGTGTTACAGTGTATCCAACTTATACTTAATACAGTGGTCACTCTGATTCTTTCCTTAAGTAATATCTCTTCACTTGGGGTTAATGCAATTTAATCTTCACACTGGAACTTTGTCAGTGACTTTTTAAACTGTAGGTCTACAAGTTAAGGGACATTGCCCAAGTACAAATCAAAGCAAAAGTAAGGGCATAGACACAAAATTCAGAGCATTTTCCAAGTATGGAATAGAATACATGTTCCTCCCACCTCTGACACTTTAAGTTTATGTGAAAATAACTATTTCAGAATCAAAGATGCTTCTCTATTACATTTGTTTTTACCTGATGCTACAGTCTATATGTTTCTGTCCCTCCAAATTTCATGTCAAATTTGAATCACTAGTGCAACAGTATTAAAAAGTGGGGCCTTTAGGAGGTTACTGGATCAGAGGGTCCTCTCTCAGGAATAGAATTAAGACCCTTTTAAAAGAGACTTCACACAGTATTGGGCCTTATTTGTTCTTCCATCTTTCACCAATCAAGGACTCAGTATTAAAGAAGCTACTTCAGAAGAAGAAAAACCCTTATCAAACTTGCCAGCACTGGGCTGGGGATGTGGCTCAAGC